CACAGTATATTTAATAATTCTTTTATAATTTAAGCCCAACACTTACAACACGCTTTGGGCTATATGTTTTTACGATATTAAAGTAAGGGAATATATAATTTGGAAAAATCCGTCTTGCGGAAAAAGGACAAATACATAGGTGACAAAATTATGGAAGCAAAGTTGCCATAGAAACGGTAATTGTTAACCAATGTATGTGCATTTGAATTTTGAGATTTACAATAGAAAATTTCAAGTTTAGAACAATAAAAGTTTTTATAATTCCATGCGGATGAAGCCGGACACAATAGCTAGTATAATATACTGTATAGTTAAACGCACACAATGAGTCGGTTGTCATTAAAATAAATAATTACTGCATAAACGTACTTTAGACTTTGTAGAGCAAATGCGTTTGTTATGAGACATCTCTTTAGCACAATGACATATTTGAGCTGAAAACTGTAGGTACAGATGAATATTAATAGTTTCACACGAGGGATAGTTAGACAGTGCAGTTGGATATTGCAGTGCTCCTATTGTTTGACTGCACACATCGAGGACGTATAGTGCCGTAGTTACGTTCCGGCCATAACTATGCGTTCAAAACTTGTAATACTGCATAGATCTAAGGTACTATCTCACTGTTTACCCTTGTGTGAAACTGTCATAACTGTGAGGAATGCTTTGTGTTCTCACGAACGTCTCTTCTATAAGGTTACTGGGTTACCATGTCACCGACAGATTCTAAATTCTGAAGGTTTGAAATTTGCTTAGGCAAATTGTAAACATTTAGCAACCTGCATATGTTTCGAAGCTTTGTTGACCACATTATTGCCTGTGGCGACTTACTTAATTCTATGAAACTCCAACTGTTAATTAAGGGCGCATAACTTTGACTTAATTGTCGATTTACACTACTAAAAATCGAGTAGTGTGCGCTTCATATAAGTTCGAGAGAGACTAAACAGTTGTGCGATATTTTAGTTTCATGTGTCACGATCTAAGTGTTTATAAAGGAACAAAATACATTACTTTGTAAATCAATTTGGTCCCTTTTGATACTGTTGATTATGGAGCCTTAATCCGTACAGAAGTTAATTATTAGAATTGGTATTGAAAGTTTAAGAGCGTCGGTGGCTCAGTGGTTTGAACACTTGACTTGTAATCTACAGGTCTTGGGTTCGAATCCCGCCGTGCACCAATGTGATTTTCGATTTTTCGAATTTTCATATGTACATAATTTACCAGAGGTTCTTACGGTGAAGGAAAACATCGTGATGCAACCTGCACATATCGGCGAAGAAATTCAAAGATATGTGTGAAGTCGGCCAACCCGCATTGGGCCAGCGTGGTTGACTATGGCCTAGTCACCCCATATTAGGGTAGGCTCCGAGCCCCCGGTGGGGACGTATAGTGAGCTGGTGATGATGGTATTGAAAGTTGGTTAATTCGTTCATTATAAGAAAGTTTTGTAGGTTATGTATTGATTGGGTTAGCGGTGGAGTTTGCCTTATACATTATGTATAAGAGCCCTTGAAACTTGCTCCACAAAGTTTTAGAATTTATAGTATTAGTGAACAATAAACCTTAAAACTTCGTCTTTCTATACAATAATATTATAAAGAGGAAAACTTTGCTTGCTTGTAATGAATAGACTCTAAAACTACTGGGCCGATTTTAAAAATTCTTTCACCGTTAGAAAGGTAATTTATCTGTGAGTGACATAGGCTATATTTTACAATGTTTTTTTTTAATTCCACGCGGACGGAGTCGCAGGCGAAAGCTAGTTTTTGATATAGTAATAACAATAGATATGCGTAAGGTTTTGTTCTCCGTAGCCTATTAATTTGCTTTAGTTGAATTTAGTATTTCTTTATAGTCAGTTGTATAATAAATAAACAAAAATACAATTGCAATATTTTAGAAACTTGTTTATGTTCTTCATATCTTTGTATAGAAAATAATGCGTTTTCTAATATCGTGTTGCGTTTAATATATGTTAAACTCCCACAACATCCGTCTCAACCTGAGTTAAATCGGGTATAACGGTAAAAGAGCGAGGTGAACGATGCCTTCGACCTTGTAGATAATCGTGGGTTTACACGTGTCGATAAATATTTATTAAAAATATTGCTATCTTTATCATTCTCCTCTATAGCTCTGAGATAGCGTTATGCATTGCATTGTTTTGTGCAATAGAAAGTAAAATGTTCAGTAGTAAATAGTTCAACAAAAGTAAAGTTTTATTAAGTACTAGCTTTGCGTGTGGAATCAAAAAATGTGTGTGGAAGTGGAATAAAACACAGCCTATGTTACTCACAGATAAATTACCTTTCTAACGGTGAAAGAATTTATAAAATCGGCGAAGTAATTTCTGAGTCTATTCATTACAAGCAAGCAATGTTTTCCTCTTTATATTATTGGTATAGATGTTTTCATACTAATCTTATAATAATAATAATATAGGCCTTTATTAAGACAATAAAAATAAAAATTCTTACATAATGCATTAAAGTCATAAACTCTTATTGTCCGTGTGTCATTTTGACAAAGGACCATAGGATTCTATCTTTTGATTTTCAAATCTTGACATACTAATCTTACTTCTTACTAATATTATAAATGCCGAAGTTTGTAATCTAAACTGCTGAACGGATTTCCATGAAATTTAGTAAACATGAAGAGGATAGGCTAGAACACATAGGCTACTTCAATTTTTTAATACCACGCGGACAGAGTCGCAGGCGAATACTAATGTGAAATAAATTGTATCCATTTCGTAGTAACGTTACAATCTTGTATAGCTCATGTTACAGTTTACAACGAACACTTGCTGGGTGTCAATATTTCTTTTACGGACTATTGTCTTAATGTTTTGATCAAATTACATATATTATGAACTAGCGTTCGCCCGCCGCTCCGTCCGTTGGGAATTAAAAAAAACGAAAGTGAGTAGCCTATGTGTTCTTCCAGACTATCCTCTATATTTATACCAAATTTCATTAAAATCCGTTCAGACGTTTAGGCTACAAACTGTAATAAACATCCATCCATCCATCTAATCTTTCACGTTTATAATATTAGTATGAAATATGATTAGTGATGTATACTTATCTATATTAATATTATAAAGAGGAAAACATATTTTTTTATGTATTGAAATAACTCAAAAATTGGGCCGATATCAAAAATAATTTCCTCATTAAAAAGCTACTTTATCGCTGAATAAAATAGGCTTTTTTTTTACAATTTCAATTTCACGTGGACGAAGTCGCAAGCAACTTCATAATATGCTTATTGACTAAATACATCGATTATTGTACGGGCTTAACAAAACTTCGACTTGAAATCCTTTTAGAGGGTTTTTTTTCAGTAACAACTTCAATATAAGCCTGGCCGGTGCTGTCTAACTGTTCTGGCAAAGTGTGTACCAGCCTTTATAATTGTAATGAGGATATTTCCTTGGCTTCATTCAATCTCTCGTAATTTGTTTCATCAATCTGCACAGAATGTTTAATTAGGTTTTACGAAGAAAGCCTTACAATAGTTACAAGGATTTTTGTTGGCGATTGTACCAATTTGAATCGTATAAATTAATTTACTGCTATCGATAACCGACCGATTGTTGCAGTTATTATTTATACTCCAAAGAGGTTAACGTGTTACGCGTAACAAATGAAACGTTAAAATAAGAAACATGTATGTCAAATACAAATAGTTTGACGTATGTTTTAAAAATATTTTAAATAGCAAATAAGTATTATTTCGATAGATCGACGTATTATATGCGTAAGTATATTAGTATAGAATAAATCTTGGTGTTATGGACATGTTACGAAACGAAATGATGTGGACATAAACCAGAAAATGTTAAGAATGTGCATGGCTACAAAGGTAGATGAAGAGCGAAGAAAGTATGGATGGATTGTGTGAAAGAGGATATGCTTAAGAAAGGAGTGGATTCAGATATGACGGTTGATAGAGTTGTATGGAAGAGCAGCATACTGTGCCGACCCTAAATAAGGGATAAGGGCAAGTAGATGACGATGATGAATAAATCTTACTAATATAAATGCGAATGTTTGGATGTATGATTGTTTGGTACCTCGTATCTCTCAAAAGTAGAACATATTCTAAAAGAATACGTGCTACTTCTACGCTTTAATTTTAAGCGGACGAAGTCGCGGGCAAACGGCTAACACTATATACTATTAGACAGATATCTCCCCGAGGATCTTAATAAAAATCTCTGCAAACGTGAACTATTTATTTCTTACACAAGATTTTCAAATTAAGGTACCCTAGGTACCTAGGGTATGATTGAAACTAGAGCATATAAGCTAAGATTATTGCCCAATTCAAATCGAAAACTATTGCTAGGAACGAAAGTATCAATATCTAATATTTCCAGTTTAAAGCACCTTTTACCCAGCGTTTTAATATTTTCAACTTCCAATGTACAATCGAGGAAACGCGCGGTGTTTCACTTAAAGAAAAAATGTCTTTTTTATTGCAACGATATAAACTCCACCTCTTCATAAAAAATAACTAATTAGATAGCCCTTAGTGCAAACGAAGGGATAATAAATAGGAACTAGCCGAGTATCAGTAACTTTTTAAATAAGCAGCGTTGAATTCTGGTGCCGGCGGCCCTACTTAAGTCCCTTTTCCTTCCCACCCTTTTTCTTATAAGAGAAGGATGGAAAGAAAACGTGGATTTGACGGTAGAGGAGACGGCATAGGAAGGGGAAACTTCCTCTGATGTGCGTCTCCTCGTCTGTCGCTTAAGGGTAGGCAACGCATTGCGATTCCGCTTCGCCAGTTTGGCGGATTCAAGTGGCCGATTGCTCGTTTGCCATCTTAAGATATATAAAATAAAAAAGAATTGGTTTTCGTTCAGCGTCTCGTTTCCAAATGTTCCAACGATTGTAACTTTGTAGAACACCGGATTTCCCGACTGTACGTTTTTTAAAACTATTTTTTCAATATGTATTTCATAAGATTTTTTCACATTCCAGGCTGGGAGTCGGCAGAGAGTGAAAAGCATCCTTTCCTACGTAACGAGCCGGTGAGATTGACACCCGCGTGGGAGGGATCCAACCTCCCAAATGACACACTCAACTTAAAAGGTAAATTATACCACCTACGAATATTGACAACTTACGGAGAGATTGTTCTAAAAAAATGGAAACTCGGCTAAATGATCTAATATTTCTTTAGCGTCGTTATAATCATAAAATCTTACTCTTCACCATATTACTAATATAAACTAGCTGTTGCTCGCGATTTCATCATTGTTACAGTAAAAAAAATTTAAACATAGCTTATGTTATTCACTGATGGCGTAGCTTTTTAATGGTGAAGGAATTTTTGTTTTTGAGTTATTTCAATACATACAAAAATACAAATCTTTCCTTTTTATAATATTAGTATAGATGAGAATTAGATGGATGTTTGTTGCGAGTATTTTGTAAATTGGCATAGAGATAGAGGATAGTTTGAAAGAACACAGGCTGCTCACTCTAGTTTTATTATTTCCACGCGGAAGAAGTCGCAGGCGAAAGCTAATAATATGTGAATGTTAGTATGGATGGATGTTATTACGTATCTCTAGATCGGTTCAACGGATCTCGCCCAAAGTTATCATATATGTAAATGTATATAGACTGAAAGAACACAGACTAATTAAGTTTTTTTTTAAATTTTGTACGGACGGTGTCGCTGGCTATAGCTAGTCTTTAATAATCTTTTCTTAGCTATAATTAACACAAATAACAATGGTTTATCGATTCTCGTGTTACAATTTAACAATACCAGTTATCGATACGTCGTCATGGGTTTTAATTAATTTTAGATGTTATATAGCAATAAGCTGCGGTTACTAATTACTTCGCGAATGGGAATTGTGCGGGAGTGACGTTGAAAATGACAGTTAAAAAAGGTTTATTCTACTTTTTTTTATTATCTTTAACCTGCTCTTGTCCCTACGGAGACTCGGATATACTATTCCATACTATCAGCTAATATCTGAAGTCATTCTCTTAAGCATATTGAGAAATTGAGAAGCAAAAGATTAGCGTGGTATCGACATGTTTTGCGAGACGATAGGGTCATAAACCAGAAAGTGTTAAGATTGAATGTGGATGGCTACAAAGGTAGAGGAAGACCGAAGAAAGTATGGTGGGATTGTGTGAAAGACGAT